CTTAGGGGCGTTAGACCGGATCGCGCCTTTGCGACCTCTCCGTAATTGTGGATCCCGGAGGGCACCTTGGTTTACCGAGGAACTACGGGAGATGAAGCGTCAGAAGAGACGGCTAGAGCGACGCTGGAGGGCTAGTAACTCCGAATCCGACCGGACACTTCTAAGAGCCTATATTAGGACTTATTTAGTGGCGATATGAGCGGCAAAATGTTTGCATTTTTCCGCACTTATTGCGTCTGAAGAATCTCGCCCCACCGCCCTGTTTAGGGTGACCCATTCCCTACTTAATGTTCGGGAAGCTGGGGAGCCCTTACAGGGTAGAGCAGAGGAATTTGTGCAATTCTTATCAGACAAAATCGCTCGGATTCGGACAGACCTAGACTCCGATTGGGCAGGGCCTTTTGAGATGACTGGGGCAGGTCTTAGCTCAGTTTTATGGGATGAATTTGAGTCTGTGACCGCTGAGGATGTTGACAGAGCGGTGGGAGCAATGAGCGCCTCCACTTGTTTATTGGACCCGTGTCCTTCCTGGTTGGTCTCGGCTGCCAAGGAGGTGACACAAAGCTGGCTCCAGGTGTTGATCAACGCTTCGTCGAGGGAGGGGTCTTTTCCACAATCCCTGAAGGAGGCAGTTGTGAGGCCCCTGCTCAAGAAGCCTACCCTGGACCCAGCTGATTTAAATAACTTCCGTCCAGTCTCCAATCTCCCCTTTGTGGGGAAGGTTGTAGAGAGAGTGGTGGCGCTCCAGCTCCGACGGTCTCTGGATGAAGCGGATTATCTAGACCCTTTTCAATCTGGCTTCAGGCCCGGCTTCAGCACAGAAACCGCTTTGGTCGCGCTGATGGATGATCTCTGGCGGGCCCGAGACAGAGGTTATTCCTCTGTCTTGGTGCTACTTGACCTCTCAGCGGCTTTCGATACCATCGATCATGGTATCCTTTTGCGACGACTCGAAGGGGTGGGAGTGGGAGGCACCGTTTTACGGTGGTTCTCCTCCTACCTCTCTGGCCGGTCGCAATCGGTATTGGTGGGAGGGCAGAGGTCAACCCCGAGGCCCCTTGAATGCGGTGTGCCACAGGGGTCGGTCCTCTCTCCCCTCCTATTTAACATTTATATGAAGCCGCTGGGTGAGATCATCAGACAGCACGGGGTGAGGTTTCATCATTATGCTGATGATACCCAGTTATATATCTCCTCCCCGAGCTCTCTCAGTGAAGCGGCCGATGTGATGGGCTGTTGCCTCGAAGCCGTGAGGGTCTGGATGGGGGTTAACAGACTCAGGCTCAATCCTGACAAGACTGAGTGGCTTTGGATGTTACCTCCCAAGGATCATGTCGACTGTCCAGTGTTGACTCTTGCGGGGGAAAATATACCCCCTTCAGAGCGGGTTCGCAACTTGGGTGTCCTCCTTGATCCACAGCTGAATCTGGAACATCAATTGACGGCTGTGGCTGGGAGGACCTTTGCACAAGTTCGCCTGTTGCACCAGTTGTGACCCTACCTGGACCGGGAGGCTCTCCATACAGTCACTCACGCCCTTGTCACCTCACATTTGGACTACTGCAATGCGCTCTACATGGGGCTAGCCTTGAAAAGTATTCGGAGACTACAGTTGGTCCAGAATGCAGCCGCGCGAGTGATAGTGGGTGCTCCTCGATACACCCATGTTACACCTATCCTCCGTGAGCTGCACTGGTTGCCTATTGGTCTCCGGGTCCAATTCAAGGTCCAATTTAAAGCCCTATATGGCTCAGGGCCAGGCTATTTGCGAGACCGCCTACTACCTCATAGTTCCCTACGTCCGGTTAGATCCCACAGGCTGGGCCTCCTTCGGGCCCCGTCGACCAAGCAGTGCCATTTGGCGGGGCCGCGGAGGAGGGCCTTCTCTGTGATGGCGCCCACGCTTTGGAATCAGCTCCCCCCGGAGATTAGGACCGCTCCCACCCTGTTGGTCTTCCGTAAGCTACTTAAGACCTGGCTTTTCCGGCAGGCCTGGGGTTTATAAAACCTTACCCCTGGATGATTGTTTTTGTATTGTTGTTTGTTATGTTTTATGTGTTTTTTATTGTTAGCCGCCCAGAGTCCTTCGGGAGTGGGGCGGCTTATAAATTTTAAAAATAAATAAATAAATAAATAAATAAACACATAGGCAAAAAAAATAGCTGGGTCTTAGAGTGGGAAAGGAAGAAGACAAGCTGAATAAGATAAGAAGAAATCGATTAAGGAGGACAAATATGGTAAAATACTACACCAGATAAAAAAAGATTTAGAAAATTGGGAAAATTTGCAAATTTCATTTTTAGGGAGGAACGCTACGGTCAAAATGAATGTATTGTCAAAAATATTATTTCTGTTCCAGGTTATTCCAATAAAATTAGGGAAAACATTCTTTCAAGAATTAAATAAATTGATCACTAAATTTATATGGCAAAGAAAAAAAAACCAGAATTAAATTAAAACTCTTGCAAGACACGAAAGATAAAGGGGGATTGGCGTTACCAGAGTGGGAAATATACTACCAAGCATCAAGCTTAACTTGGCTAAAAGATTGGATGGATTTGAAAAATACTAGAGTCTTAACAATAGAAGGACATGATTTGCAAGCAGGGTGGCATGCATTCCTATGGGACGAAAAACATAAAATACACAGATATTTTCAAAGACACATAGTTAGGAATGCATTGCTACAGACTTGGGAAAAAATAAAACAAAAACATTATACAAGAATTCCAATGTGGTTATCCCCAACAGAAGCTTTGAAATACCAAATCTATTGGATATAAATAAGATAATTAGATACAAGGAATTAGTAAATGAACAGGAAAATTTGAAAACAAAACAAGAATTGGAACAAGACATTGGCAGAGAGATTGATTGGTGGACATTTACACAAATTCAATCTAAATATACAGACGACAAAAAATTATATGAAATTCAAAAAGAGTCGCAAGAATTGGATAAAATTATACATGGAACAGAAATAAAATTAATTAGCAATTTATATAAATATCTATTGAGATATAAAATGGAAGACAAGGTTGTCAAAGACACAATGATTAGATGGGCAAAAAATTTCGGATATAATATAGAATTGGAGAAATGGGAAAAAATATGGGAAATAAATATAAAATTGAGTATGTCGGTGGTATTCAAGGAAAACCAGTTGAAAATGTTTTATAGATGGCATCTTCCACCTGCAAAGCTTGCCAAGATGTTCCAGAATAACTCACCAACATGTTGGAAATGTAAAAAAGTACATGGAACATATTATCATCTATGGTGGACATGCCCAGTTGCAAAAAAATACTGGTCTACAATAAGAAAATGGATCCAAGAAATAATAGACCAACCTGTAGACTGGAAACCAGAGATCTTTTTGTTGGGTATTTTAAATAGAAAATATAGTAAAGAAATATGGTACTTAATTTTACATATAATAACGGCGGCAAGAATAGCATATGCACAGTGCTGGAAAAATGAGAATATACCATCAGAGGAAGAAGTAATAAGAAAAATCCTGGACTGTGCTGAGATGGACAAATTAACAAAAGAGATAAAAGAAAAGGAAGACACAGAGTATTATATAGTATGGAACAAGGTGTATGTCTGGTTGGAGACTAGAAATAATAGAGGAGAATAAATATGGAAAGGTCAAAAGTGAAAATATGTGTACACATGAAGGAAGAAAAATGTAAATAAGAAATAATGGGGCTATAAGGACAAATATTTTAAAGAAGAATAAGGGGGAAATGTAAATATTAGATTACCGTTACGTAATTGCTGTAAAAAAAAAGGAGGTATATATTGTGTGTGTGTGTGTGTGTGTTATGTGTTGCTTTGTTCTGTTTTGTCTTGTTGGTTAAAAATAAAAATTAAAAAAAAGATAAGAAGAAAGGCACACTGAATTGAAAAACAGGAAAGAATCTATTGTTCTAGAAGGGGGACATAAATATCCACAGAGTTTAAAATAACCATTTAAATGTCTATTTTTTCTTATTATTATTGTATTTGTGAATATGATTTAATGTTATCAGGAAATGTGTATCAGTGGACCGAAAGAGTGTAACCTCATAGTACCTCAGACAATGGAAAAAAGGAGGGATGTAGCCGCAGGGGACAGGACTGCATAAAAGACGGAAATATTTTGGGTTAAAACTTTGGAGAGAACCAAGCTTTGATAGCTTTTTTCCCCACTTATTGCAATAAAAGAAACAAAAGGCTTCACTGTGTCTTGGCTGATTATTGGTCAGGCGAGCTTGCCTCTGGTCACGAAGGAAAGTAGCCAGGAGCACATAACACCATCTTTCCTGGGTGTTACTTAAAAATATATATATCTGCTACCATCTCTCTTTTTGCAAGCCAGAGATCAAAAATGAAACCCGGATATGCACTGTAGATCACAGCTTTATCTTCAATATGTTTGCTTTGCACTTTGGGCATTGGTTAGGAGTACTTTATTTCTCAATTAAATTAGGGCCCACCTATGTTTTTTTATAGACTGACCACTACCACTATCTTCCAAGCATTCAGTGGCAGAAAGAAAAGTTGTGATCTTGGTTTTTTTTCCTCACCTTGAGAGAGCAGTGTTGTGTGTGAAGGCAGGTACTTGCAGTATACAGAAATAATGAAATATTTGAGCTCAGATAGAACTAGAATCCAGACCCTTAAAATCAATAGGACTTACAATCCCCCGTTTCAGGCACTCTTTGGGGACATACAAAAATCAGTAGTATCAGTAGTCTTTTTGAGGTAGAGCTATCATTCAAGCCACGTACCACCGACTCAGCCCAACCCCAGAATCCCCTGGCAAACATTCCCAATTATCTACCTTATGGACTAATCTATCAGGTGCTACCCTCGACTGGGCTGCCCCAGATGGACCTACTACTTGGCAAGAAAATGGAATGTATAAGTTATAGGACTCCGTTCAGCATCCAGTCCACGGTTTACTTGTAGGTCATGTGTAGATTAAGTTGATTTAAATGGACCCCGGGTATTTCAATTTGCTCTTCCCAATTTTTATTATTTCTTATTGATCTGCAGACAGTATTTTTTTTAGATTCCTAAAAAGTGGAGTCTAAAAGAAAGAAAGAAGAGACTGTACTTGAGGATTCTGATTTTGATTGTTGTTGTTGTTAATTGCGAAGTCGTGTCCGACCCATTGCGACCCCATGGAGAACGTTCCTCCAGGTCTTCCTGTCCTCTACCATCTTCTGGAGTCCATTTAAGTTCACACCTACTGCTTCAGTGACTCCATCCAGCCATCTCATTCTCTGTCGTCCCCTTCTTCTATTGCCCTCAATCTAAAGAACAGGTTCAGAGACGTCTCCCGTTAGTTTCGCCGTTGCAAAGAAATGTTCAGCTCCGCGCGACTGCAAAAACAAAACAAAACACACCAGTCTGGGACTAACATTGCTTCGTAGCTTTTGCAAATAAGGTTTAATGAAACCTTAATGCACATACTCTGTATCAAGTCACGTTTTGCTTTGAATGCAGACGGGGAGCGACTCACCAAAATACAGAACAGAGTATACCGAAAGAAATTACACTGCTTAGAAAACGTTCCAGCGCACTAGACCATTTAAATTCCAATAGCGGCTAGTTGCAAGCTGACAGACCGTGAGCTCCACTTATCCAAAACAAATCTCAAACAAAATTTCAGTCGCCACAACCAAACCGGAAGCTTCTACTTTGTATAGCTCTATTGACGCGTCCTAGGGTTGCATTTCCTTGGAACCCTTTAAAGGACCTTGCAGGAAGGGAAGTGGAATGATTTGTAGGACGGACTACAAGTTAGTCCTCCAAGGCGGAAGTTCCGTTCGGCCTCAGCGGCGATGATGAGTTTCGAGTGGCCCTGGCAGTACAGTTTCCCGCCGTTCTTTACGTGAGTCCTGGGTCTTCCTCAGTCTAAATATTCTTGGGCCTTGAGATTAAGGAGCTCGTTCTTTTCTTCGAGGCACAGTGCGGGCTGCACGTGCTGGAGGTGCCCTGTCGGAACCGTGGTTTCCGTAGAAAGAAAATCCTCCTCCTCCTCTTGCCTCGTTTTGAGCGGAGCGAGACGATCCACGACTTTTGCTTCTGGTCTTGTCTCGAGAAAAGGATTATCAGATTCCGCTCCTGCTGCTGGTTTTGTGTCTGTGTGTGTTTGTGTCTGTCTCTCGCTCTCTCTCCGTGTGTGTGTGAGTGAGTGAGAGAGAGAGAGAGAGATTTTCCCCCTTCCCCCCAATTGACGGTACTGAACTGCCAGGACCATTTGAATTAGAGATTTCTGGAGGAAACTTTGTATTCGCGCATTAATTGAAATAAACAGTTCACTGAAGGAACTCCTCCGCCCCCGTGGCTGATCTATAACTTAGAATAGCATAACCAGCATGACTAGTGATGAGAAGTATTGGGAATTGTTCAACGGGTACAAGCTATCAGGTTTCCCATCCATGTATTACTAAATCAGAAAGCCAAAAACACTTAATTTGATTAACACGATTAATTTTTTTCTGTAATCCGTTTTGAAACAAAATTAAGATTTATGTTTGCATTCAAAATGGAATGCATGACATGGCTTCTCTATGGTTGTCTATGAATGTCATCTGTGTAATGCATTTCATACGGAATCCTTTTTTTCCTCACAAAAACATTCCTTTTCCCAAGGATCTAAATTTGAAATAGTCAAGTAGAAAAACAGCTGAATGAAAAGGCAAATGATTGTATGGGATATATTGGGAAAATGTGTACTTTAAACATGGCTAGTGTTGGGAGTAAGAATAACAGATTATGTCAAAGATTTTGAAAAAAAAAGATTTCAAGGAAACACTAAGATTTTTAAAAAGAGGATTTTAGGCATAGGAGATCACAAAGAATGGATGGAGCTAAGATAGAAGTAAAAGATTTGGAAGAGTATGGTTTGTATAGTGAGAAAAACTATAAAATAAGATAGGAGGAAAGCTGTGGAATTTTAAATATGAAAGCAAATAATGGATTTGAATCCTATTACGGATTTTGAGGGACTTCCTCTGATCTCCATTGATGAAAGTTTGATTGTAAAACTTAGAATACAAATAGTGAAGATTGGGGTGCAGTCAGAAAGGAGAGTTTTGGATCAGTGTGGGAGATGGAGGTGAGTATAGCAAGAACCAAAGTTTTAGTTGAGAGGAAGGAGCATATATTTTCTAAGGAGAAGAAATAGGACTTATCAGTAAAACAGATCTCTCTCCTGCTAATATTTCCATACTGTCTCTTCCACATAGTAGATAGAATTTGAGTGATACAATGAGGTGGAAATACTAATTGAAAAGAGGGAAATAAACTAGGGAGAATATTAAATAATTGTTAAAGGATATAGATATAGGGTGATGCTGTAATTGTCTGCCAAATAAATAGTAAAAGGGAAGAACATGAAATTGTGAGAAAGAATCAACTATCTGGGAACATCGTGGCATTAGACAGATTCAGCCATCTGGGCACTGGTTAAGTTAATTGCAGATATCATTAACCAAGGATAAACTGTCATAAAAGAAAAAAAGGCAGAAAAGAAGGAGTGACAAAATAACAAAAGATTTGGGAAGAAACTTGGGGCCTTGGAGCTAAAAACAAAACTGAAAAATAAAGGAAAGGGAACTGGAAACAAGAGGAGGAAATCCAGAGAACAAGAACATTCTCAGAGTACAAGAGATAAGAAAAATAGATGAAAGTTATAAAGTTTAATTTTGGGGATTCAGCACCTGCCTCAAATAGATGATAAATTGGAGAAGCCTTTTGCCACCATCCTTTGATAGCCACAAACAATCAGTTAGAAAAACAGTAAAAACCCTCTAAAAGGAAGTACATAAAATACTTCTTGCTCATCAAATCCTCATCTGAATTGATAACACCAATGGTTGCTAACACCATTATCCCCCCTTTTTAAAAAAAATGTGGACTATTTCCAGTCAGACTGTTGGATCCATGACAATATTTGGGTGATAATGGCTGCAAAACATGTCAGTGTTTTAGGCTGATTAAACTGGCAATCATGCATATAAAAACTGGGTTGGTTAAATTATTTGACTCTGGACAATCTTATTAAAAATTATAAATCAAATTGATAAATTGTTTTATGGATGTTTGGAAAAATCAAAGAACATATAGCTTTGTTGGCAATTATGGAAATTTCAACTCGGGTTATTTAAAACAACAGGACTAATTTGAGAAGTTGGATGATTTTATTCAGATTTTTAGTCAATTTAATATCTAATCTTCAGTAAAGTTACAAAATTTGGGGTATGATTCTGGAAGTTCTATTTCTTGATTCTCATTTGGCAGTTAAAAGTACTGAGCTTCTGAGATGACAGCTTCTTTTACATCTGTTTCCTTTTTTGCTTTAGGTTGCAGCCTAACGTGGATACAAGGCAAAAACAGCTGACAGCATGGTGTTCCTTAATGCTCTCGTATTGCCGCCTCAACAAGCTCTATACTATGACTGTTCCAGAAGCTCAAGAGAGCCCACTGTTCAACAATTGGAAATTGCAGCGTATCCTTCCTCTACTATCATGAGTCTTCCTGACCTGCCTTGGTGAGGTGCCAAGGAATTCATGCAACTCCTGATGATATAAGAGTTGGCTTTTTTGTCGGTGAAAAGTTCAAGTTTGAAGCAATACAAGCTTGTAGCATTAACCAAATGTGCTATTGGTATGGTCCTACATATATGTATGGTCCTACATATGATTTGTGAAAAGTACATAGAATAGACCTGCCTTCTAACATAATTCTGTTTTTTAAGTAAACCGCTTTGCTTCACCTTACGTTAGAATAATACAAGGTTTTTTTAAGTTCCAATGAGGAAAATAAGTTCTTAATTTCTACAGATGTTTTGATTTTAATTTCTATTTAAAAATGCTATTTTCTGCTCTGAAGTCACATAAAATGCCTTAATATTGATTTCCCTGAGCTGTGTTAAAAACAAAATGCTCAGGTGTTGCTTATTGTTGGCAAGATTATATTGGTGACTTGGAAAAGAAAAGATTACACAATTATACAGAATATCTCTCTATTTGATGAGGAATTTTACATATCAAATTTTCTATAATTTAGTTAACTGTTACTGTAAAAAGTATAAATGCTTTCTTTACAACAGCTTTACTAGAAAATAATTTTCCACTACAGTGCTTTTAAATTTGATTTTGTTAAGACATTGATTACTAAATTTTCTGATGTTCCTGTAATTTTTAAAAGAAGCTGGTTTTTTCCTAATAGGAATTTTTCATAGAATTTCAGATACTTTATTCCTATCAACATCTTATATAATGAAGTGTAATTACAACTGCTGCCAGCTTCTTGATGTGCTTATACAGTCAACATTCTGGGCTACATAAATAGCCTGTTCATTCTTTCTAGTTCTATGGCCGAATACTACTCATGGTTATTAGCTGCATGGTGCATTTGATGGGAGGATTATTAGTATATGCTGCATCACAAGTATGGTGATTTTTTGAGGTTACATTAATATCTTGAACATTGCAATCCCAAATCTTGAATTTCTTTTGAGTTAAGTAGTTTATCACATTTTATCCTGTGCTTAGTATTTTCCTAACTATGGAACAGGAAAACTCCCACTGGAATCCATCCTTGTTGTGTTAGAGGAGCTCAGGAAAAAAGGTAGGTTTGAGGGTAACATGCCTATCTAATCATAAATATAATTAACTGGCGATATATGTGTCTCCTTCATTTCATTAAGATTAACATCAAAGTAGGTGTGACACAACAAGCAGCCTTAAGGGACAGGATGCAGTCTTATCTAGAGGTAAATCAGGCTGCTGGGACAGCTAGGGCTGAATCCATTATTTATATTTTAAAAGGATATTTTTAACACATTGATAATAGAGATATTTTATGTTTCATTTCAGGGAATCTTGAATGGCTTGACAAGAACAAGTCTAGCTTTCTTATCCTGTGGCGATGTCCAGAGGAATGGGGCAAGCTAATTTACCAGTGGGTAAGAGCAATACTTTTTATGGTAACAGTGCAAAATTAATTAAGCTTTGGTAGAAAATGATTTTGCAAAAATACATTGAAACAGTTCCTTTCTCTCTTCCCAGAATCTGAATTTCAGCAGGAGCCCACAATTCTTTTCTATCATATCTCCACCATCACAGCACAAAAGTGTTCTGCCTTTTATCATATTTTTAAATGAAAATTTAGATGTCTAGGATGTGGAATTCCTGGAATAATTTTGTGCAGCTGTGACAGTACAAAATACCTGCAATCATAACAAGCAAACTTTATATTATTTTTCTGTATAGCTTTGTAAATCTTGAATATTACAACATTTTTAATGTTAAACCTATGGTAGTTGTCAAGTTGTTAATCATTTCACAGGAAACTTGTCTCTGAGTATATTTCATAATGCTAAAGTTTATCTTTTAAAGTAATACATGGATAGGAATCCAAAAAAAATATCAATAGCTTTTATTCATGTGAGTCTGTGTAGATGAGATTGGTATATAATATATATCAATATATCAATATGTATATATATATATATATATATATCAGATATATCAGATAATCAAACAACGAATCAATGAACACCTAGAGGCAAACAAAGTCATTACTAAAAGCCAACATGGGTTTGTCAAAAATAGATCATGCCAGACAAATCTTATTGCATTCTTTGACCAAGTGACAAAATTAATGGATCAGAGGAATGCTGTGGACCTAATTTACTTGGACTCCAGTAAGGCATTTGATCACAACCTACTACTTGATAAGATAGAAAAATGTGGGGTAGACAGAATCACCACCAGATGGATCCGTAGCTGGCTGACCGGCCATATTCAGCGAGTAGTCCTCAATGGAACTGCATCTATATGGAGAGAAGTGTGTAGTGGGGTGCCCCAGGGCTCTGTTCTGGGCCCAGTGCTCTTCAACATCTTCATCAACGATTTGGACGAAGGGATAGATGGGGAACTCATCAAATTTGCAGACGATACCAAGCTGGCAGGAATAGCCAACACTCCACAAGACAGGCTTAAGATACAGAAGGATCTGGACAGACTTGAACACTGGGCACTAACTAATAAAATGAAATTCAATGGTGAAAAAAGCAAGGTTCTACATTTAGGCAAGAAAAACCAAATGCACAAGTACAGCATAGGTGGCACCATGCTCAGTAGTAGTAACTGTGAGAGGGACCTCGGGGTCCTAGTAGACAATCACCTAAAATATGAGCCAGCAGTGTGCTGCAGCTGCCAAGAAGGCCAACACAGTACTAGGCTGCATTAACAGAGGGATAGAATCAAGATCACGTGAAGTATTAATACCACTCTACAATGCCTTGGTAAGGCCACACTTGGAATACTGCATCCAGTTTTGGTCACCACGATGTAAAAAAGATGTTGAGACTCTAGAAAGAGTACAGAGAAGAGCAACAAAGATGATTAGGGGACTGGAGGGTAAAACATATAAGGAACGGTTGCTAGAATTGGGTATGTCTAGTTTAACAAAGAGAAGGACAACGGGGGACATGATAGCAATATTCCAATATCTCAGGGGCTGCCATAAAGAAGAGGGAATCAAGCTATTTTCCAAAGCACCTGAAGGCAGGACAAGAAACAACGGGTGGAAACTAATCAAGGAGAGAAGCAACCTAGAACTGTCTTCCTGACAGTCAGAACAATTAATCAGTGGAACAGCCTGCCTCCAGAAGCAGTAAATGCTCCAACACTGGAAGTTTTTAAGAAGAGACTGGACAGCCATTTGTCCGAAATGGTGTAGGGTTTCCTCCCTGAGCAGGGGGTTGGACTAGATGACCTCCAAGGTCCCTTCCAACTTTTTTATTAATTAAATATCTGAGATTTTTATCCTAAAGCCATGTCTTCAGAAGTTAGAATGCTGACATTGAAAAAAAAGGTTTTTTTGTTGCTGTTCCCAGTTCTACAATGGTTTTCTCAGGAGGCTTCTTTGCACATGATTTTTTTCAGTTTTTAATTGTTTTCCAGATGTTTTGGGTATATTTTATTACTAAGATGTAATCTATTTCTTACAGTGTTTATTATGTATTTTCATGTTTTATTTATATTGAATTGTTGTGAATATCCTTAGCACAGTGGTTCTCAACCTTTTTAATGCCGCGATCCCCAACCGGTCGTAAGTCGAGGACTACTCAACCGGTCGTAAGTCGAGGACTACTCAACTGGTGCAGCACCATTTGCAGAATGGGACTTTTGGCGGGATTAGCAGGGCAGAGACAAAAGCCAATAGAATAAAAGGGAGTAGCACAGCTAAGGAAAAGGGGAAAAAATGGCGGACTGCGTTGTTTGGCGACCCCCGTGAAATGGTCGTTTGACCCCAAATGGGGTCCCAACCCACAGGTTGAGAACCACTGCCTTAGCAGAACAAAAAAAAAATTGGAATATAAAACTCATAATGGTATCAAATATCAAGTGTTGCTTTCTCTACCTGCCCCCTCCCCATTTCCAGGTTTTGAAGAATGGATTGACAAACTCGGTTTTCACACTCTATGAGTTATCCAATGGCGAGGATACAGAGGAAGAAGGTGCATTTTCCATTATAGTGATATGTAACAATGTCGAAAGAGACATAAATTGTTTGTGTTTCTTCTGTCTCATTTTTAATCCAGAGAACCTTTCTTGCTGTCCACATTCTTCTCCTGCTGAATTTTTATAGTAAATGGAAGACAGTTTTCAGAACAGCAGAGCATATACTTCATATTTTTTAAATCTAATTGGATTTTAATTCTTACAAACTGGATTTCTCTGATTAATTTGTTTCCATTTATCAATGAAATGTCGGGATAGGGATCATTATTTTGACTGTGTTCCAGATCAATGAACATGCCTTTATTTTGGTTCCGTTGGTGCTATGCTAAGTAATGAAAAAAGAAAGACAATTTGGGAACTGAAATTTCTAAGCTTGTTTTGCAACAATCTACCTATGTAATCCTAACAAGTAGGATTACTTATGAAGCTGTACAAAGGTTTTCCTGGCAACAGCAGCCTTCTGCTGTTAGAGCAGAAAATGTGAGTCCAGGAGGACTCAACTTTCTTGTCTCAAATGATTTATATGGCTGTCCATATCAAGTACAAAACTCTGGGTAGCTTACAACTTATATTTATATTAAATTAAATAGAAAATACATACAGCCTTAACCTACGCAGGGTTTTAAAGAAAGAACCAGAATCTTGAATTGCACGCAGGTAAACTGTAGCCAGTGCAATTTGCAGAACATTACTGTCAGATGTGCTCAGGTAGTCAGTACCATTAATTGCCCATGCCCAGTGTGTAAAAGTTCTAGCAATGACTGTCACTTTTTTTTTTAAGTAGGACCTGTGAGTTCAGGATGACCCTAGAGCAGGTACTGGCTCTATCTGAAGCAGTGCCATTCCATCCAGAACTAAAAATGGCGGGTCCTGGGACCAGAAGGTCCAAAACCCCAAATCCACTTAGTCTTGCTTGAGTTGAGCTGTCCCATCCAGGTCCCCATGGCCTCTAGGCATTTAGACAGAACTTCCATAGCTTCACTCAGGTGACCTGGAGTAGAAATATAAAGCTAAGCGCTTATATCTCACCTGAAACTGTCTGATTGCCTCCTCCAGTTGCTTCATGCAGATGTTAAACAGGAGGAAAGAGTGCCAAACCTTATAGCACCTCACAGTAGAGTAGAGGCTGTGGCTAGATCTTCCTTCTCCATCAACACTGACTGGACCTAACCCCAAAAGAAGGAGGAGAACTAGTAGAGAACCATGCCACCCACCCCAAATCCCAGGGCTGATCTGGAAGAATACATGATCAGTAATATAGAATTTATTGAAAGTCAAGAACAGCAACATCTCCGATGACTGTTTTTTAAAAAAATAAAAAATAAAAGTATGTTTGGCAGGTATATTGTTTTTATACTTTTTTTTTTTTGCTGTACATCACCCAGAACCACTTATGAGATGGGTGGCCATATAAATTTAAACGAACAAAGAAATAAATGGACATAGTACCCCCATTTTGTTTCTACAACAGGTCATCCAAAGATAGTCCTTTTTTGCACTTTGTATAACATTCTTATGCCAAAGCAACAAGATAGCCTACAGACTGTGGTTGGAAAGTAAATTTGCAATATTGGTGAATATCTCATAATATGTGGTTGGAAAGTAAATTCTTTTGCCTAAATATTAAATAACTGAATTGGTTATGCTGTCCTAAACTGGGGCAATGAGCCTTCGAAAGGCAAGAATATCTCAGCATGGCTGAACAAAACTTTTGTGAACATTGTCTGGCATTGCTCACAGAATATCAAGCCTTTCTTGATAATACTAAACATTAGATATTTAAAACAATTTTTTGAATATTGCATTTCATGCAAATGCTGCTGTGTATATACAAATTCAGAGAATTAGCAACATATCTTTTTTGCATTCTCTGTAAGTTGCCATCAGTAAATTGCCACCAGTTCTGTCCTCAACCAAATTTTTGTATTACCTTGTATATAAATCATGGGTGACTTTCTCTCAACCAAGGATGTTTTATTCTCTTCTAGAATTCCATGGTTTGGAAGAATTAGTACTTCTTCGAGCTCTGCAGGCTTTACAACAGGAACATAAAGCTGAAATATTCACTCTGAATGATGGTCGGGGCGTCAAATTCTTCTAATATAGATTCTGCTTTGGCTTCCTAGTATGACTGTACAAAAGTGTTCTGGGTTTAAGAGCTTCTCTCTGCTCTGCATTGAAGGCTGAAACAGCAAACTGTATCTTAATGGCTCAGCATTTGACTTCATTTTCTTCTCTCTGCGGCTTCTGCTTCTTATTGCATTGTGACGATTTGAATAGATTTATGGAGGAATCAGAATGTTCTTTGTGCTCATATGACACAAAACAACTATTGGCTCTTGAGTTTGGCCTTCCAAATTGAAGCAGATAATAAACCCTGCTGCTTGCAGCAATGATTTGGGGATAATTTGGGAATCAAAATGCAGTACTCTCTCCAGTTGGGCAAGAGGCCACGTAGACTGAGCTATCCAGTGGGGCATTAAAGACTTTGGACAAATTAAAGTATACTGTGTTTATAGAAAAGTCCTCTGTGTTGGCTTATCTCTGTGTGTGCTTTTCTCACACCAAGGGGACCTTCAAATCTCTTCCATCCCCATCCCCATATTGTTGTTAGTTTCATGTCAGGCCTAAGTGGAGGTCAGTTGCCTCCCCGTGGAGTTCAGCAATGTTGTTTTTTCAGAAGCAAAAAGTTGAGGGAACTATACTTCTTCATTTTTAATATTTATGAAGAAGCGTGCACTCCCTTATCCAGAAGTAACTGTCTGTGTTCGGTTGGTTTCATCTTTCAACACTCTGCACTTTGTCTGGAAAATGGGCATTTACCCCTAGATTTTTTTTTAGCATCAGTGTCCTGCAAGTTCATTATGAAATAAAATCTTTCATTTGAATCACATTTATAAAACTAAAAAAGTGAAGAAAACTGTATTGAAAAAAACTATTTCTTCTGCTAAGGCAAATGGGGGGAAATGGTATTCTTCAGATATTTTTGTGCAACTCCTAGGATCACTTACTTTGCTATACACTGGTGCAACTTTTGGGAATGTATTTGATGTGTCTTGTTTAGATCAGGGTATGAGACAAAGGATTGATAGGTTTGTAAAATTAACTTATTTTCCTGAGTTTGTTTTAGATATGCTTAAAACTGAATCAGTTGTATTTTTCCTAGGCGTCCTGTGGATAACCACATTAGGTAGCCATTAGTGAAGGTAGTACTTGATGAACCTCTGAATTTGTCAAAAGATTATTATTTGAATTTCATGGACCTTTCCTTAGCTTGAAAAGATGACAGATCTCACCAAATGAGGAAGAATAATTAGTTAATCAAGCGTGACTTTCCAATAAGGAATTCAGAGTTCATGCAGATGGAAAGAGATGTCTTAAGCTTGAAGCAGAATTTACAAAGCAAGATCTTGGTCGTTACCTTTAAAGCCCTACACGGCACGGGTCCAAGGTATCTGGAGAGCTGTCTTTCCCTGATGGGACAAGCCTGCTCCACTTGTGCCAATGGAGGAGGTCTGCTACAGATCCCATCTGCTAACATTGAAGCAGGCAGGATCAAGGAGAAGAGCTTTTTCTGCTCTGGTCCCATCCCTGTGGAACATTCTTCCACCAGAGAGGAGAACTGCCCTCTCCCTTTTGGCCTCCCGGAAGGGTATCCAAACTTGGCTTTGCTAGTTAGCCTAGTGCCCTGAGTTGGAGCACTCACTGTTGGAGGTGGCTGAAGAGTAAGAAGATCTCATTCCTGTCCCATTTGACTCTTGGCTCTTATAGGCACAGTTCTTAATAATATTTTAATGTTGATTCATTTTAATTATTTTTCACCTGTTCAATAATTTGTAAGCTGCCCAGGGTCACCTTGTAGGGGAGATGGGCAGCATAGAAATTTAATAAATAAATAAATGGTAAATTACAGCGTATATTGTCACATAGGTTGTGTTAGAATTACATTTTGATCTTAGAAGAATATAGTTGCTTTAAACCTACATTCTTCTAAGAGTTGGCTTTAGGAAAGCAAGTATGGAAAAGTTTACTTGATCAGATTTTCCATCACAAGCTTAAAATTTAACTGTGATAGAGGCATGGAATAGAAGTGTAGATTTCAACTGGCATGGGGTGTTCAGTTTGCCTCTTTTTCTTCTGCCACATTTAAACATTGTTGAACAAAAAAAACCATGATAGTTTTATAAGAATTTTACTTCTTGAAAACCAAATGGCACATAATATAAAACTGCTCCAAAGCAAGAAAGTTTCTTCCTCGGGCAACAGTCTTTTGACCCTTGGCCCTTTGATGCCATGCGGTCCTTAGTTAACATCCATGAATATTGAGAAAGAGAATTATAAATATGGGTCTCTTATCTTCCTTAGATGCTTGCCTCCTATTCATATCATACCCTGATAAAGTAATTCATCCTTTTGCCAAATTTTTAATTAAGTCTATGACTATGGAGCTCTAGTCTGTCTATCCACAAAAGCTTTGAAAGAGAGCAAAAGAGATAACTGTAGCAAGAATGTTTCTACTTGAGAAGAGTAACTGGTTTTCATAGTCCAAAGACCTATCCTGGCTTTTGGGTATACTGTTGTCTCAGCTCTGCCATACTACTTCAGACTTCCTCCTTCATAGATATATTTCAGCTAATATTGTATGGTAGAGTTCCAAATCATCACGTGCAGATATTTTCTCTTGTTTGTTGAGAACATAAATGAGAAGAGGCTTTTGGGTCAAATTACCAGAGCTTTCCTAAATCTTTATATGGCTGTTAAAAATAAGAGAGATAGAGGCAAGTACAGGCAGTTCTCTGGACCCACTAAATATTGAAAATATACCAATAGATTATTAGAACTAGAATAATCTAATAATTGCTTTCTTCCAAAACAAGTTTCTAGGGTATTTTTTTACTTTAAACTAGAATATGATGTTGGTGCAAGTAGCCTATTTTTCATGAAAAACTATAACACTATATTATGACAATAATGATAATTTGAATACTGACATCCTTAGATCTTAAAAATAAAGCTTTCCTAATCTCTGCCTTCTTGATGTTTTTGAGAAAGAATTGTTTAAAAGGGGGAAATTATTCTTATATCTTTTATTTATAATAATTGCCTTGTGAATTTGAAAAATCTGTTTTAGTTAATTAGATAAACAACCTCCAATGGTATTCACAAGGGTTAGGCAAAGGAGGGTCAGATAGATGAAAGTCTGCTGCAGCATTGTATTGCAAGGCCTGTCCCTTTTTTGTGTATGTGTTGCAACAGCACACACAACCAAAGGGAGCACAGTATGGCTAAAGCATCCTTCTAAAAGTATCATAAATCCCATGCAGAGATGGAACATCTTCAGGTACCTGATTCATCACTATACTTTGAAAACTCTGCTCATAAAAAAGGAAAAAAATAAGCATACATAACATAACTTTTTATTATTTGTTTTTTGTAAATCTCTAGAAACTGCAAAAATACCTCAGGGAATATATAAGATGATGGTAGTTCTAATATAATTAAAATGAATAAATGAAGCAGTATGATACTATACTAATTCTTTAGATGATTACTCTGGCCTGTAGGGGGACTGTGACTTTCTGTAAACATGTCTTCAAATCAGCTGTACATCCTTTCAAGGAACGTATTTGCATGGAACCCAGAAACAAATCTTCATGCAATTATTGTTTCTAGCATTGTGGTGTTCTAAGCTTTTGAATGAATTTATGCATCTTACCTATTTATCTGTTCGCTTATTTTCTGAACACACTAAGTATAATTTAGCCAGGATAAGCATACTTGGGTTGCAAAATTGTGTTATTGTATCTTTAAATGGAAATAAAAACGGAGTACGTTTTAGATCTCTGCTTCCATTTAGTGGTTGTCTGGATTTTGCAGTTCAGATATGGTAGTCCTATGTTTAATATTTACTACTATCATATTACAGCATTCTTTACTGAAAATTCTTGAAATAACTAGCAAACAGGGATGACTTTATCAGCTTCTTTTCCTTTAGTCAGTATTCCATTAATTTTACAGCTGGTTGAGTTTTTCTATTCCTTCTCCCTGCTTCAAAAACAATTTGAATAACCATTGTGGACTGACATGAAGACCATAAAAACTGATATAAGGGGAGATAATCTTTCTTCCACTCTTTGTTTTCAGAGGAGAATTTCACAGGGTGAGAGCAAAATGGAGCCACCAAAGCTATTAATTAACAGCATTACAAATTAGTAAGCGCTCTTATACCCCCATCATTTTGGAAGAAGGACTAGAAGTATTTAACCATGACTTCTAAGTCATGCTTAATGTAAGCCATAAAACAGGTTTTTTTTTTGTTAAGAAACAAAAGATCTATTTTTAGCCAATAGTCCTGGTAGTCCTGGTTTAGCAATCATAATTGGGACTAGCAACTCAGTCATCAAGCAAAGCAGTCACTAAGTGAAACTGCAACTGTGCTTATGATCTTACTTAAGTTTTCCTTTGCTTTACAGACTGTAGAAGGTTGTAAAGGTGAAAATGGCTAAAATTACTTTTTCAAACTGCTGTAACTAAATGGTAGTTAAACAAGGACTACCTCTACTAAATTGTGATGTGACTTATGCATAGGTTCTCAAATTCTCAAATTATAGGTTGGAATCCTCTGGGAGAATCATGTCCAAGTCAGCAGAGAGTCCCAATTTTTTTAAAATGTTGGCTCGGACATGGTTGTCAAGTCCAGATTACTAACTACAATAAAATAATAATCATGGGATGTTGCCCAAATTAATTTATCACCATAAGGGATCAAAGTATTACAAAATTTGAGAATACTGAGACTGTGTTTTTTAGACAAGATCATTAATAGCTCTTACTACTATTACCCTCAGTTATAATTTTCTAAGCAAGTTATCTAGCAATTTTATTAAATTGGCTATAAAATCCTCAGTACTCCACTAGCATTTAGATTTCAAATATTATAAAACCGGAGAAACTACATTTATTTAAACTTAAGCTACTTGAATGCTTTCATCTGGCATCAAATAAATATATGATGGTTTTTCAGGTTTGAAGAAGACACACTGTTGTATAGTTCATCTTGAACATGTAGGTAGCTCTGTAGTTCTAGTTTGGAAGTACAGAATAGGTTAATGGGGGCACTAGAAGTCAATTGTTGCAGTAACTGGATTGCTTTTTTGTGATATTATTCACAATTTGTACCAGTTTTCGGCAGCACCTGTCTTCAAAGTCATTGGAGGCCTCATAGTGTATCCACACAGATTTTGTCAGCAGTTGCAGTTTCTATTTCTCCTAAATGAAAGTCACAGTGAAGTATATTTTCTTTCATAGCACGTTTGTAGCATTGGCATGGCCTCTCTAAGCAGCTCTTTCCAGACTTCATTATACTATACAGCAACTGGCAAGGTGGTCATCCATTCTGAGGATGTTTCCCAACCACCTCATCTGGGCTCTGATAATCAGGGACACAATGCTGAAGGACCATGTGCAATCCAAAATCTTCACATTGGAGACATCTTGCCAATAAATGCCAAGGATAGAGCTTCAAGAGAAATTTCTACAGTTGTTTGATGTACCTTGTGTACAGAGTTCAGGATTCACATATAGGAGAGATGGGATAATCACAGCTCTGTAGCCATTCAGCTTTGTGAAGATACAGATGTGTTGCTTGAGCACTCTTATACATATCCATCCTGGCTACCTTTGCTGATCCTGGAGCCAATTTCTTTGTCCAAAAACCCATCGCTCAAGATGATGTTTCCCATATATTTGAAACTGTTCACATTTGTCAGGTGAATGTCTTGGAATTTGGAACAGACTGATAAAGCTTGTTCAAACTGATAGGTCAAAGAGCATAGCAACCTCTGAAAATTTGTTCAGCATTACAAAGTTCATTGTCTTTGTGCACCTGGAGTGCAAAGTCATCAGCAAAGAGGGTTTCCTAAGTGACTGTATGAGGGACTTTGTTCAAAGATCAAAGAGAGCTGTCTGATTGGTACTTAAATTAATTCTCCTTTATCCCATGAAATGGCAAATGCAACTGATTTATCACCATGGTAAAGAATCTGTCCATTCTGTCAAGGAGTGGCTGAATCAATTTCATGAATTTCTTCAGCCCTTCATAATGGTTCAGAATGATCCAGAGAGCCTCCCTGTTAACAGTGGCAAATGCTTTTATCAGTTCAATGAAAACAGAGTAAAGAGGTTTATTCTATTTAATGCACTACTTCTGAATTTGCTTTATGGGAAATAACATTGCGAATATCCATTCTGGCCAGAAGCCACCTACACCCTGGGAGGTTCCTTTCTGAAAAAGTGACAAGTCTGTTCAAGTTTATGATGGACAGCAGTGTGATACATCTGTTTTTTCTGTGATCTGATTTGCTTCTTATTTTGATGGCCACAGTGAAGGCACTGAGGAAGTTGTCAGGTATTTCCACAGACCAAATGTCTTTCAAGATGTCTTAGAATGCCAACCTATTGCTTTATTTAAATTCATCTATGAGTTTGCATTCTTGATTTCAGTAGAGGAAGGCATGTCTAAAGCATCCAAAACTGGCAGCTGAGGAATCTGCAGTATGACAGTTTGATCAATTGTGGATGGCCTATTGAGTAGGTCTAAAAAATGATACATAGATAGACAGACAGACAGCATTGTCTTTTTTTAATTACTGTGGACACATTGGCACACATTAAAAATGAAATTTTGTTGCTTGCTCTCAAAAGTGTACACATGCATAACACACATTTAAACAGGCTATATACAATGTATGTATAAACCTACACCCTTACATATAAATAACATATAAATATTAATCACTGTCCATCTTGAATACCTAAAGGAGGAGGAAGCTTTAGAGTTCACAAGGTTAATACTGTATGGAACAAAACTATGACTGAATCTGAATGTTCTGCTTCATATACACAGAGCCTCCTCCCAAAAGGTAACAAGAAAAACAGGTTGTGAGAGGATGTGTAGTGTCCCAGACAATCTTGAAGACCCTGCTCAAGCAACACTTACATTCTATGTCCTGGATGAAAGGGAGGAAACTGCCAATTATCCTTTCTGCCATCCTCACAACTCTGCACTGCCTTCCTGACTGAAGCTGTGATGCTTCCAAACCAGACTGTGATGCTATATGACAGGATGTTCTCGAACATCCCTCTGCAGAAAGTGGTAAGGACGGGGGAAGGAAGATGTACTTTCCTCATGTGATGCTGAAAATGCATTCACCAGTGTCTCGCTGTTGAGTGCCCAAGCCAGCCTATTCATTAATTGCACATATTCAGTCCATTGGTTTTTCAGTTTTTCCTGGTCCTGAATACTTTCGTCTGGCTTCAAATGTAGTCAATAAAATAGTTGCACAACATTCTAGAAGTTCAGTCAATAGCTTAAGATTCACAACTGAGAAGCAGCAGACAATTGTATATATGTTGCATAAATAATCAAAATATTATTTTCTATAGTCATAGTTATTCAACTAATTATATTGCCAGTACCACCATTTGCAGCTTTCTTTGTGGAAAAAAAGTGAGGTAGGATTGGCCAACCCATCTATTGATCCTAAGGAGATGGCAACAACTGGTGATAGAAACTAATTTTGTAGAATACAGTTTGTGAATAGGAGGGGCCAAAGATGGCTAAAATGATTTAGAGAATGAACCTCCTGCAGAAAAGTGTTTAATAACTTGTAGTGCCGCAGTCATATGATCTTTATCCCATACCCCAATTAGTCCAGCTTTCAGAAGTAATGTGGCATACAGTGGGGTAATAAATGAGGAGTCTAATAATGGACAATTCATGGAGCAGGAGAAAAACTGTCAAAAGTAGGGTTTTGGTGTCAATACTGGAAAGCCAATTATAGAAAAAAAGTATAGGATTCCAATCAAATTCTGGTCTCTGCATTTACATCAATGGAATATTTAAATGTGCTTGGTACTGAGCAGATGCTTTTTCCAAGTAAAAATTTAATGGTGTGCCAAGAAGAGCTGTACACATATGCTCCTGACCATTGCTTTCACTGATCACATCTGTCATCTGGTGTGCTTCCAAAATGTGTGACTTCAGACCGAGGGGGAAAAAAAAATTCAAAATAGGGAGCAGCCAGTCGGTCAGCTTCTCTGATCATTACACTTACTGATATTTTCAAGGCGGCATGGATATGAGAGGAGTGTTTATTTGTAAGTGGCTCCTGAATTGTTTTAAATTTTTCCAAGGATTGAGATAGGATAAAGTTGGAACTTGGAGACAGTGATGCTGGCTGCATTGAAGGAGATTGGTTGTGGTGCCAGATTTTTGTTTTTATTTGTAATGCTTTTTGTTTTTTATCGCTTGTATAATGTTTGGTTTTATACAACTGTTATGAGCTACCTCAGTTGCTCATAATGTGCAGCCATATAAGGCTTTTACATAGATCAATAAAATTCCTCTGAATCTGGCCTGAGATAGAATATTAGTTTCCCAATCTTGTTCCTGACATCATTCCAAACTGAGATTAAAGGCTTTACTGTTGCCAACTGGATTCTTTTCAGTTATCATGACATGGGAATCTGTGGATGGAATAATGAATTAGCATACAAAAAATATTAAACAGGAGGTTCCTGGAGGCAAAGAAGACTTGCCAGAAAATACAGGGATCAAGCTGTTGTAGATACAGCAGCAAATATGTTAGTGCTCCACCAACATCAGAATACAGCTAATACATTGGACCTTAAGAAGGCATTTCATTGCAAATGATATAGGCCTAGGAAAAGTTAGAATGGAACAAAAAGGTATTATATTGAGATGAACAATTACTGAAGAGAACCTATGCATTTTAATATATTAATATTAATTGAATCTCATTAGTCACAGACTGCTT